TGAACTTTTCGGGGGCTTAGTCGACCTCTTGGTTGAAAACCAAGTCGATTGCATTAACTCCACTATAGACGAAAGGGACTGCTCCAATGTTGATGGGGACATTATGAAGCCCTGCACCAACAGGACAAACTGGATCTCCATGTGATATGCTCTCATCTGTATTCGCACGATTCTCATCAGACAATATAGGGTAAGGTGTCGAAACTATTACGGTCTTCCAAAATGTTCGTGCATAGGGGAGAACTCGAGGCATCAAACTCCTCAACCCTCCCTGACCAGCACGAAGTTGACCCATCAATGAATACTCTATTATCTTCTAACTCTTTAATACTTATCCTCATTCTATGAACCTTTCCATTGACAAGGATAGAGACGCTGCCAGGAATCGACGAAACCTTTTGGACGGACAACAAAACCTTTGCACGATCAAAACGAATTAGATTGAGTGTTTCCTCCTCAACCTACAAAACCTCTCCCCACCTACCTACTAACCCCTTGAAAAACGCTTTGTCCCAAACCAATAATTGGACGTCTTCTAACATAACTATAACACCCTTAGATCGATATGGGTGACATGATCCAATTCAAGGTATAACATTAGGCCACTGAACCGATCCACTTTGAAAGTCTGGGAAAAATAAAATTTTAACCAATAAAACTTTAAAACTGTAAAACATTGTCAAAATATAAATAAATTCAGATATTAAAACAAAATTTGATAATACACGGTATAAAAACAAGTTTCAAACTATAATATAAAAGCAAATTGTAACATACATGCCCCCTAATTACATGTGTCGTACTCCACAAGAAACAACGGTGAAACTTCCATATATGTTGATAAAAGCACAATATAAATTTCTTAGACCTAAAATGGTAAGTAATAGAATGAGCTTTGGGAAAACTCAATAATATAGAACTACCAAAAGATGCTAAAGGATAAACATATATATGATAATACATGAAAATTTCTTTATTGATACAGGTATCTACATGATCTTGAAAAGTCTTGAAATTTTATTAACTAATCATCAGAGTAAGATTCATGAAGTATCTAGATCGGAAGATGTTAGAAAAAGATAAATCTCAAATATTGAGTTGAAGAGGTTAGTGTGTTCCATTAGTGTAGAGAAAACATACATATAGTTCCAAACTGTAAATACGTATTTCAGTAAAACAAACTTTTAAAGAGACGTTATATTTAAAAAAAATCATGTGACTATCCTCTATCCAAACACAGGAATGTGTAGGTTCCTCAAAACTATACACCTTTTTGTACGCTTGGTAAGGACCTTATACTTATAGCATAAGGGCCTAGGGTAAGGACTTACCCTATGCACAAAGCAGAGGATATTGCGGTAAGAGCTTACCCTATGCACAAAGTAGAGGAGTCTGTGGTAAGGACTTACCCTATGAACAAAGTAGAGGAGCCTATGGTAAGGTCTTACAAGTCATAAATTAAGCATGAGACACTCCCTCTAATAGTAATCAACCCTAGAACAATAAAGTATTGATATCATAAAATCATGATCCAACTATGTTTTGTATCATAAAGTAGAAATCAGAGATTGTGTTATTATTTTAAATATCACGATTATACGTTTAAAATCAAAGAAAACAATCTCATTTTTAAATTAGAGAAAATAATCAAATTAGCATATAACACATTAGAGGGACCAATTTATTTCTCATGAGCACTTGATAGTTATAAGAAAATGGGAGGTAGAATTTCATATAGATTTCAAACTGATTTCATGAACGAGATCTCTACTAAAAGGCTTCGAACATTTGACAGCTTATAGATCAGGACCATTTAGGAGTCAGATACATCATAAGAGTATTTAGGAACTATGACATCATGGCTATTCAAGATTTAGATATATCAGAAAAGATTCCAATATTCAGACATGTGGGGGAATTTTAGTCACTTTGATTCTCGAAGAAACTTTGGTAAAATGACTTGATAAGGCTAAACAGTAATTTGCATTATTCAAGATTTCTAACGACTTAATCGACTCCCAAGTCCAATTGAACTACATAGGTCTTATCATTGTGATATTTACCAAGAACTATGACAGGAACACTTCACAGATGTTGATTCCTTAATTCCAACTGCACTTTGAAGTTAAACAACTTATCTTCTTAGATTCCTTACACGGATCCCAATGATACGCATGTGCATTTGAACAACATTTATTTATTTTTATTCTCGTATTGTAAGGGTATTAGGAATAGCCGACATACTTAGGTCGTACTCCATAATCCTTATGGTCGTTACAACATTTAAAGCTTTACTGATATTTTCAGAACTTATCCAAAATAATTCACTTAATCCAAGTTATGAGGATATTTAGGACATTCTAGAACTCGCAGGTATTTCAATCATTTTAAAGCTCGATGGTACTATGGTCATTTTGAAGCTTGGGGGTATTTCAATCATTTTAATCAATTAAGTCATACAAAGTACTTTCAGTAAATCAGTCTTTAGGTGTTGTCTAGAAATCAGAAATTTTAGATCATGAGCCTTCGCAGAGGTTAGAAACTGACTGTAAGAAATTTTCTGAACATATCAGGATTTTGACAAGTAAATTGGTAGTCCTATTGGACCAAAATCTGAATTCTTAGGTTAATTCCACCATTAAAGGCAATCCATGTCATTTTCAAACCTTAAGGGTATTTTTTTCATTTTTACCCAAATATTTACGGTATTAAAACTCTTAATAGGATAAATTAGAATTTATGGTTTAGAGGTTAACTTTACTCAACTTAAAAATTAGGAGTAATTTAAGAAAATACCCCTAACATTTGACAACATTTTCATTTTTACCCTTATTCTTTTTTTGAAACATTTTAGCTCCCAACATTTCATTTTGGGGCAAAAAAACCCATATGTGGATAGAAACTGTTAGTCAACTAATGGTCAACATCTTGAGATGACATGATATGACAGTGTCACATATACAAAATGTTGATGTGGCAAAAATGACATGTCATCAATTTTTAAATTAATTTTACATATTTTTATTTAACATTTTTTGTCCAATGAAATGATGACACATGTCATCACTTCATTGGTTTAAATTTAAAGCAAGCAAAATATGCTTTTATGGATACTTGAACATGTATCATCATGCATGAAATCCCAATGCTCAACCATCAAGTTAAATATTGCTTTTGGGTTATTTTTACAAGAAAAAGTATTTAACATATATGTTTTGTCTTTCATACATTTCATCAAACACATTCTTCATCCTCTCTTCACATGTAATTTCTTTTAACTTCATTATCAAACATGTACTCCTCCCAATTTCCCATTGATTATGGGTGGACGTTGGATGGATTCTTGTACGTACAACTCTTCGTAATTCTGAGCACCTCAATCATCTTGTCCCTGAATAACATTGACAATCATTTTCCCAACACCTCCATCACCCATTCATTCGTATCCAGCTTTGTTGAAACTCAATACACAATGTTCTTGTTTTCCCCATTTGTTTCTTAACTCGTTTTTTCCGAAGGTATAATTTGACTCACCATTTGTTTGTTGTTTTGTTTGTGTTGAAAATTATAATAAAGAAGAAATTGTTTAATGAAATATGTAAGAGTCAATACATAGGATAAATTTTAAATCTTACAAGAGAAAACCAAGTTATAGGCTTGGCCCAGGGTTTTAAATAGCGTTCGTGGTCGCGTTTATCACGGTTGTGGAAATAACGGATGCCATTGCGTTCACTGTGAGTGTCGCGGTCGTGAATTTTTTTTAATTTTGTACAACTTATCTTAAAACATAATAAAAATAATTATAATTATAAATAATCATTTTTAAAGATTTTTAAAATGTTTTCTAAGCGAAATTAATAAATATATAATATAGTTTAACCAAATAGAAGACTTTAAAAATCCGATGATAGGATAAGATAATTAATTAACGATGACATTGTGAATAATTATTATTTAAAAGAAATAATACTATCAACATAGGAAAAATATAATAAATTAAAATGGATAAAAATAAGTTTTGTTATAACTATGAGATAAGAAGTTATTTACCATTTTATCAAAGAGTTATCCTTCACAACTCAAGAATAATGTATATATATATCTCAAATGTAAGCAAAAAGAACAACACATATCTCATGCGATAATTAAAGTAAGAAAATAAACTTCATTAAAGCAAGAGTATAAAAGTACGATGTACAATAATTAAAACAACACATACCTCATGTAACATAACTATGTTAAGATATACAATACTTAAAACAACACATACCTCGTGCAAGCAACCAACTATGTCAAGATGTTCAACAATATTCATTATGGATGTCTCTCTTTTAATATAAAACCAATCAAACAATGTAAATTAAAATCCAAAAAAATGCTAACTAATTAAATGTCATAGAAACATAGATTCTTTTGGTAGGCCAAACATACCTTAGAAATGGGGTGGTAGCAGTTTCACCAATTAGTGGAATAACGAGGAAGATCAGATCATTCACCTTCACCTTCACTTTGTGAGTGATTTCCACTTGATCTCTGTGGTCTTTGTCCAAAAATATATCAAAAAAATGTAACATTTTCACCTTGATTTTCAAATAATTGAGATGAAGGATATACTCGAGGAGGAGGATACATGTGAGGTGGAGGTGGGTGATATATTGGTGGCGGAGGGTACATTTGAGGGTGGAGGTGGGTGATATATTGGTGGCGGAGGGTACATTTGAGGCTGATATGGTAGACCATAATTAGAAAATGGTGGATAAAATAATGTGGAGGTTGAAAATATGAAGATTGTCCCTGTGAATTTGTTGTCCCCATTTTGATTCTTTGAATTCCTATATCTTAATAAGAAAAAATCAATAGCATAATTTAACTTATTTAAAAATTGGAACTAATAAAATCATTAAATATTGTTATATTAGAGTAATTAGTAATTGTATTAACTAATTATAAAATATTGATCTTTGACTTAAACATCTCTCTCAAACCTTGTTTTTGCCTTGTTATCTCCTCAAGTTGTATGAAATGAGGCATAAATCTAACACTTTCTTCGCTTCCTCTAACACTTTTGCTACACTAGACTTTTTTCCAATATCCTTAAGACATAAATCTAAGCAGTGAGCTGCACATGAGGTCCAATAAAGATGGTTTCTTTTCAACATTAATCTTTTCCCAGCGGCTTTCATTGCTGCCTCATTGTCGGTCACTATTTGGATAATGTATTCTTCCCCAATTTCTTCAACAACTTTGTCTAACAAATTATAGTAGAATTCATCATCTCTACTACGAACGCTCGAGACATCCACAGATTTCCAAAATACAGTTCCTTTACTACAATAAACAAGGAAGTTGATGATATGCATTTGATTTAAACTATTGGTCCAACCATCACACATCAGAGTTGTACCTAGTGGTTTCCAATGCGTCTTCAGTTCATTTACCCATTCACGAACTTGTTCATACTCCGATGTCAAATACACATATGAAATCTCATAAGGTGTTGGGAGCTTTACACCTTTTCCAACTTCCATTGATACTTGAATTAAGTTATACAACCAAGACGAGCTTGCTAATTGAAAAGGAAGGCGATCGTATATTATAAATTTTGAGACCGCTTCACCCATCTTTTTACGCAATGTCTTTAAAATAGACTCACTAACCTTTGGTTGTCTTGATTTTTTGCTCTTAACCAATTCAGGTATAGCTCCCCTTAAACTAAATTCAGATCTTTCTTCACGATATCTTCCACGTGATCCAAGAGAAGAAGATCGCCCTTCTTAATAAATGTTATCCCAACCACTCGTACTTCTTCTGAATTCTTCTCTTCTATTCCATTCGTGTTGTGATTGGATACTTTCTTGAGTGGCTTGTCTCATAGCAGAAACATCATATACTAATTCATCCTCTTCTTCCCTTAATTGTGATAAAAATTCATATGTTCTCATTTTTTTGTCCATTTTCTTTTCCTTGGCTTCTTTAAGTAATTTCATCATGCTTTCTCTAATGATACCTGTAATCAAATAAATATAATTCACACTATTAATAATGTATAATATTTATTATTAATATTTAAAAATAATTATAAAGTATCTTTTTTCTAAAGAAATTATAAAGTATCCTTATCATATATTCACATACCAGTGACATTAGGACATGGTGCGACTTCACCGATTTTATGAGCAATGTGCTCTTTAAACCGTGTTATTCCTCCTTTCACAACTTTTCCACAAAGTTTACATACAACATTTCCTTTCGTATTTGGAACTGGATCTCCAAAGTGCCAACCTATATCTCTACTCATTACACCTTCTAATCCTTCGGTCGGGAACTTGTCAATACGTGGTGGCATGCTTCACTTTCAATAAAAACTGAAATTAATATATACATAAAGTTAAACAAAAATATAATTTTCTTAGCTTGTAAACAAAAATATAAGTTAAACTGAAATTAAATAAAATATATGACAATATTAGAAATTTAGAAGGTTTAGAACCTAGCTTGTAAAACAAATTTTCATCTGTGGTGCATAAAATAATTTACCTATTTTCCTTTTTTAAATATAACTCACACTCATTGAATGTAGTTAGCTGTTTCATTTAATTTCAAAACTATATAATAAAAATAGAAATAAAATATTTTAAGTGTGGCAGAGAATTTTTGCTTACAAAAGTAAAGTAAAAATTATTGTGGCATCCAATTTGTCAGATAATCAATGAGAAAAGGAGAAATAATAAATTATTTACTGTGGCTCCAGTTCACAGGCAGTAGTAACACGGTAGTAGAGTGCACGCATGATCAAGTGAACATGTAAAAATTATGATGAATTCTTTAATATATTTGGATTTTTATAATATAGTTCTCAAATTTGGATTATTAAAACCTTGATTCGTATTCAATATGAAAAAGCTGAATATTCAAATTTTCGGATCGAATACCTAAATCTAAATATAAACTTTAATTTAACAAAAAATAATTTTAAATATAATATTTTGTGATTTTATACAATTTATTATATATCTATATTATATATATTTATCAAAATATGCTTGAACAAAATAAAAAAATTCTTAATATGTCATTTCAAAGCTTAAAAAAATAAATAATTTAAAAGGTTAAAAAGGAAGAAGAAAGAACTCACTGGATTCAATTATTCAATCTGCAAGCATTAAGACATTCCAATTTTAAGGTCGATTGGGTAGTGGTTAGGCGTTGGCCATTTCAATTTACAGGCTGACTGGCTAGTGATTGTGGCGTTGGGTATTTTAATTTTTGGGTTGGGGACGGGCTGGTTGGCTCTTTGTAAATTTTTTAAGGGTCCATTTTTTATTAGATATTTGGATGATTCATGTCTAATCAAATGTGTAAAAAAATTGCACATTATCGTTATTATCAAGAAAAAAAATCAAATATCCATTATCCAACTTCCAAGAGATGTCTCAAGAAGTTTCTCAGCTATTCTCACTCCCAATTCCCACTTCTCTCAAAGTCATCTTCTTCGTTTCTTCCCATTCCCATTCGCCAGTTAAAATTTTTTCAGTTTTCACCCCACCTATTTCACTCTTGCATGTTCAAAATCGAAACCTCAAATCCCCTAGTGAAGATTTCATCTTCAATCTTCCTAAGCTAAGTAGTAAAAAAAATTACCTTCTTAAATGGAAGTGGGAAGCTTGATGCCTTAATCTATTCCTTCATCGGCGGCGAAGCTCGACGGACAGAAGACTTCCTACTGACTAGGCTTTGTTTTTCCGGCTCTTCCCCTTCTCGATTGGTTTTTGGTAAGATGTGTATTGTGTGGGTATATGAGTTCACGGTTGATTAAATAACCTATTTTGTTTTGTCCCACTCCCTACCCTGATTGTAACTTGTAAGTAATTTTTCTTTCTTTTCAGTTTTCAGTTCACTTTTCATTATACTTGTGGGCTCACAAGTTGCAGGGAATATATTCCCTTCATTTTCTTTTTTGTTTTCTATACAATGAGTCGATGATTCCAGTGCATTTTGATTTTTGTATTTGTCTTGGAATCACGGTGATTGTGTCTCGTTATGGCACAATCGTCTGTTTCTGTTAAATTTCGGATGCAATCCACCACGATCGGTGTGAATTCGTGACCCACAGCAAAAACCACAAATAGCAGTTTCAGACGGTGACGCGACCACAATATCGCAGCCGCTATAGCATTTTCGGAATGCTATTTGATACCCTAACTTGGCCTGGTGGTAACATGTAGACACTTTAATCTTGGAAACTTGGGTTCAATACCTATCAAATTGTAAATTTTACAATTTCATATTTAACATAATTACATGATGAAATGTGTCATCATTGTATTAGTTGACAATTATTAAAAAATTATATATAATTACTTTTTAAAAATAGTTTTTGTTGATGTGGTTTTTACCACATCATCACTTTTGCGTGTGTGACACTGTTATGTTAGTGTGTGATGTTATGTAAGCTTGTCATGTCATCTCCATGCATTGACGTTAGTTGACTAACATTTTTCATCCAATGAGAGAGTATTTTGACCCAAACTGAAACGTTGAGGGGTAATATGCTCCAAAAAAATACGGACAAGTCTTAATTCATACGTTAATTCCACCATTAGAGGCAATCCAAGTAATTTTTAAACCTCAAGGGTATTTTTGTCATTTTTATCCAAATATTTACAGTATTAAAACTCTTAACAGGAAAAATCAAAATCTATGGTTTAGAGGTTAACTTTACTCAACTTAAATTATTATTGGTCCTCTAGTTCCTTCTACGGGTCATTCAAGTCTTAATCAATTTACTAATATTATATCGAAATCAGATCAGGTTTAAAATAATCCACCATAACTCATATTCAATCATGCAATCACCAATTATCAATATGTACCATAAAGCATACATATGGTAGTAAAGTATTACCTCAATTTTTGTGCTACATTAGTCATCATTTAACACCACTCTATTACTCTTGAACTCAGATTAGACGTCTCACAACATCTCAGATACATGTCAAAAAGAATTTAATTAGAAATAGAACTTAAACGTGGAAAATAGATCAAATCATAAAAAAAAATGTCAAAATACAACTTACTAGGTTTGAATTTTGCAAAACGGATCGTAAAAACGAACTCATGACGACAAAAAACATCAAGATAGGTGGTCTTGAAAAAAGTCAACGTTAGTCAACAGTCAAAATCAATGTTGGTCAACGGTGATTGACGGAAATCAATGTTGGTCAACGGTGATTGACGGCAATCAACGGTCAATAGTCAATGGTATCTCGACTCAGTAGCTCAGCTCAACAATTCAGACCAGTCCAATAGATTCAGACCGATCCAACTGATCAACAGATTCTCCAGGCGGCAGACGAAGCTCATACACAGGGGATGGTACGTGGGGCGCGTGCGATGGTCTTCGGTGATCAGAAAATTACGAATTTTTCTAATTCAATTTTAGAAGATTTTGAGTCACTTACCAGGCTCCATTATAACAACCACCTCTATCATACTATTTCTTTCCACGTTTATTCCTTCCGAACTGGTATTGTTTGAGGCTGGGTGGGGCACTACTTGGGTAACCTTGGGCTTAGCAATGCCAACCTTCCTGAAAGACCTACTGTCTCTCCATGTCGGTTTAAATGACTTTTGAGATTCTTGATTGTTCATCGCCTTCGGTGGTATACTCATGTTACGCCTAGCGAGGAACGCTTTAACATAAAATCCGTCCATTCTTCTTCCATTATCCTTTGCGACTGCGTTTTTAGCTTCATCCATGCTACTAAATCTGACGAAAAAGAACGTAGTTTTCTTCTCCCTTTTTTTGCACTATTTTGGGCAATAAACACGTCAAGAACACACCCATATGACTGAAATAGCATAAAATTATTCCACATTATTAAATGGAACCATGACTTATACCATAGAAAGTGTTTTACCTACCTATTTATCCATTTACTTATATAATCTCACTTAATGCCATATACTAATTAATATATTTCAATAAGAGCCTATATATATAATGTTGATGAAATATCAATTTTAAATATAGTGTCAACCATTATTTTTATTTTATAATAAAATTCATTATTACTTTATTTTACATTTTAAATTAAATTGTTTAATTTTATTTAATTATTTTTAAGAAAACAAAAAAATAATAATTTTATTTATTTTATAATACATACTTTTTATGATCAAGTCTAACATCGTCTCTTTAGTTAGTCTTTATTTAATTATCTTGTTAATTTATCATATTTTAAATAAGGATTTTCTTTTATTGATAATTATTCATAATTATCAAACAACAACAACAACAAAACCCTCTTCTCATATGTAATGGGTAAAGGTATTCATAACTATCAAAGATACATCTTAATTGAATTATGATAAATTTAATTTGTTAACATATTATCATTGTTATTTACGTTTTTATAGTATTATTATTAATATCTAATTTTCACATTCAATAGTAGTAATTATTTTTATATATTTTTTAATTTTTAATTGATTTTGATTATTTTATATACTATAACAATTTTAAAGAAAATAATCATTAACATAATTTATTTTATTTTAATGTATATAAATAATAGATAAAGCTTTGAGTCAATTGTCCAGAGTTGGAAGCTTCGTATGGTCGCCATTTTATGCTTATCCACGTTAAACAGTGGCACCTTTCTCAATAATATTACCTCTTGGACACTACAACTCTCCAATTGCCCCCGCAAAACGACATAGTCTAAGGTGTTCTTATCCCTAAAATTTACTGGTAATACACTTCCCAAACCTATATACTACTGACGATTTGACCAAACTGACATATATTTATCGAATATTTATCTTTTTAGCATCGATTGATATATATTTCTCGAAGTGGTACATTTTCGGTTAAGCTGGCGAAAGGCGCGTCCCCGAGGACGCACTTTACCCGTGTTTTCGTTGAGTTAGATGCCACGTGTGGATGGCGCATCCCCAGGGACGCGCCTTCACTGACTCGACTGCCACGCTGATATTTTGTTTAATAATAAATATTTTATTTTTATTATTATTATAAATTAGTAATATATTATGTAAAGTGTTTCGATTATAATGTAAGAATTATCAAATGTATTTTGTTAATGTGTGTTAAAGGTAGAGTAAATTATCTACATTAATATGATAAAACAATATATGAAAACCAGTTTTGATTTTATTGTAGTTATAGGAAAAATGTATGAAATTATAATATTACACATATAGTTATATTATTATTTTTGATTTTGATTATCGATCTATTAATTTTATCAGTTAATTATTTAAATGTTATCAATCTAGTCAACTCTTATCAATATTTAACGAAAATATTGATGCATAAGTTAATAT